CCTGGAACTGGGGATTGAACTCAGGCCTTTGCGCTTGCCAGGCAAGCGCTTATTCTACTTAGCTATCTCCCCGGCCCTCCTTTATATGTTTTAAAAAATAATTTTCCAATTTTCATTCACTGGAATATTTATGGACACCAACTAGATGCCCGCAATAACCTGACTAAAAAAAGTCAGAGTATCTTTACTCTCATGGAGATTAAATTTTGGTTCAATGGATTCAGTAAACATGAAAAATGTCAGGCAGTGATAAGCATTATGAAATAAAACAGGTGACATGACAGAGACTGGATGACTGTTTTCATTTGTTTATTCAGTGTAGGGCTCTTCAAGTAGAACACTAGCTCACATTTTTATAATAAGGAAGAAGCCCTGCAAAAATATGGGGACAGGACTGTCTAGGCAGCTGTTATCTCTAAGCTTGGTAAGATCCAGGGCCGGAGGCAGCCACTGAACAGGCCTAGAGGGAAAGGGGCATCTTACAGAGCTTGGTCTAATGAGCAAGGCAGTCAGAAACCCAGCGAGAGCAGGTGAGTGCCAACCGCCCACCTGGTCACCCTGGATGCTCTCTAGGAAGGATGGAGTGTTAGGAGACAGGAGGGCAGGGGACCAGGAAACTATCACAGGGCCAAACGAAAGCTGATAGCGTGGGCTGGGCTCTGGTAATGGAGACGATGAGGAGAACAGGAGGATGTGGCTTGTAGGGCTCATCACGGGGCTGCTGCCACGTGGAGGGAGGGCAACAGAGCAACAAGGGCCACCTACGAATTTGTTTTAACGCTGGTTGGATGATGATCCTTCTCAAGTCCTGGGGTTACAGAATTTGTTGTTGTTGTTGTTGTTGGGAGAGGAGGCGGCAGCAGTGAAGGGTGGGAAACAAGGAGTCTATTTTGCCTCCGTCCAGCTTGAAATGTGTCCTAAACTTCAGCTGGACATCTCTTAAGCAGGCCATTAGACACATAAGGCTGGTGTTCCATAGGAGGGTCAGGGCTAGATCTGGCAGTCAAGTAGTTGATATTTTCAACCATCAGGGTTGCTGAGGTCTCCCACCAGACTGGATTTTAAAAACAGCAGCGGTTCTAAGACAGCCACTGGAAATGCAAAGTGAAGCAGGTCAGCAAGAACTACTGGTGCTTCCTAAGTGCGGTATCAGGAAGCTCATGACCCCTTTAAAAATCCTATCTCAGCTTCAAATTTGACCCCAGCCATAGCTGCAATGCCAAGTCCCAACAGCTTCAAGGAAGTGCACCTGGACCACGGCTGCCTCCGGGAGAAACCAGGGACCCCCCACTTCTGCTCTCAGGCCTCTCTGCCTCGTGGGGCAGCAAATGTTCCTAGGGACACTTCTACGGAAGCCGGGATGATAACACAGGGGCTACCCCTGAGATCATGGGGATAAGAGAATCAGGTACATGCTTTATCCCCCGGGCAAATAGTTTCTAAGGCACATTTTACAATACCGTTCAAGGTGCCATGAATCAAGCGCAGGTTGCCCGTGTTGGCTTTCTGTCCTTCTCTGTGATGGTGCACTTTGGTTCCCTGGAATGTTTCTCCAAGCAAACTAAATAGTGTCAGGCTCTGCTTTTGAGAGAAGAAGCATTTCAAGGAAGAGGACACAGCTATGGTGAATGTTACCGAGATGGTCCAGGGCCATAGCACCCGGGCAAATAGGATTACTTTCTGGGGACCTTGACAAGAGCGGTTCCAATGGAGTGCTGAGGACAAAAGCTCCAGCAGAGGCTGCAGAGGATAGGAGCTGAGGGCTTGGAGGTAGAGAACTGGATGCTCTTTCAAGGGTCTAAATTCCATGGAACCTCGATCCCTCAGCAACTCTTTAAAAAATGTATCACATTTGCCAGGGATTGCAAAGAAAAATACATCAAGAACTAAAATGGAATTTAGGGTCAAGGAAGCACTTTTTAAGGCTAAGGGACAGTAGAAGGGGAGAAACTGATGGAAGCTGGGGAGGGTAAGCGGAGTGGGGGGGCACATCTGGAATGAGAGAGTAGGGTTGGGTTTTGGCTAAAACAGGGACCTTTCATTTATAGAGTCGAAAGGCAGAATACAAACAGGTATGGACGTGGTTAGGCTTGGTGACTTAGATGGCCAGAATATAATGGAATTAATCGTCAGTTGCTTCCATATTTTCAATGAATTATATGGTCAGATCAAAGCTAAGGGAGAACAGTACAAGGCACAGCCATCTGAGGAAAGAGAGTGAAAGAATTTTGGAAAGTAAGAATAGAAATAGACTGAACAGTGATTGCTAAGATGGCTAAATGCCCATTTACTTATCTCAGTGGAAAATTAGCTAATTCCTGTCCAGTTTTGAAGGCAGGTGACTTTTACATACACGTGCTGTTTATTTCTAACAATTCATTGTTACAGGTTGGATGGAACTGGAAGAATGACAGGGAAGAAGAAGGTGAGCCTTTCAGCACACAAGCAAAGCGGGAGCGAAGGCCAGGTGAAGGCTGACTCCTCGGGGGAGCGTGGCCCAAGGGGGAACATTCCATTTAGGTGGCACAAATTGATTCAGTGTTGTCACTGCACAAGAAAACACTGGTGGGGCTGGACACGTAGCTCTGAGGTAGAGCACAGGCTTCGTATGAGCAAGGCTCTGTATTCCATCTCCAGCACTAAAAATAAATAAAAATATCAAACGAGCACAACATGGCTGCAGATGCACAGATGATTTTTTTGAGCGACAAGAAGTGGCTCACTTTAGAATACAAATGGTGTGATCTAAAAATATGGGGACTGTTTAAATTTTAGAAACACATCGCAGCCAAAGACTCACCGCCATTAACCTCCCCCACAACGCTCCCTCTCGCTTTGAACACTTGTCCCACCCTTCTTGCCGCTTCCTCAAGCAATTCTGGGGGCTGTCTCGCACGGGTGTCTTTAGTTACACTAGCCTGGCTGCCTTCTTGTCCTGACCTGATTGAACACGTTAACCAGAAGTCAGACAATGCCAGCTGCAAGGAATAAGGCAGGTGAGGACACATTATTTGAAATTGCTTCAAACATTTGATCAATGTGGGCTGATCAATAAACACAGTGAATTAATTTAAAAATGAATACAGTAAAAGACACATGGCCCTTAATTCTCCTCAAAATACTATCCCTTGCTTTGAACACACTTATTATTCCTGGCAATTTCTTTTACTATAAGTATTTTTTTAAGCTACTCACTCTATTTTTTGATCCATTATGTATATCTCACTCAATAATGCATTAAATAGTATGCTACTATTTTCTCTACTGAACACTCAGAAAAATAAATATTCTATGAGTATGTAATAGGGGTAGAGGTAAGACCTAACAAATGTAAGCTTCCCAAGCTATAGGCCTAAGTTGCAAAGCTTTTAAGTACAACACTGAGTAGTGACCTAATTGTTTCCCTAGTTACCTAATGTGGAGGGAAAAATGAATAAGCTAGATATAAATGCAGTGTCGAATGGGGCGGGGTGTTATAACTTTTTATGGCCATGAGATTTGTAATTCCTGTAAATCAAAATGTGGTCACTCAAAACACACATACAAAAAGGTTACCAGGCTTGTCACATCATTTGCTTGTGGCTCTAGCATACTATATTCTATTTTATTTCTTTTGTCAGAAGCTGGATGTAGCTGGTTCACTGGCTATACCTAACCTCCTAAACTAGGGTCTTGTGGGTACATTAACACAAATATTTTTGTATTTTCCAAACAACTACTAGATAACAAGTAGCTAGTAAATATCACAGGATTTTAAAACATATGTGTACAATGTATATATATACAGGGAACATTCTTTTAGCTACATGATACTTTCTCTGCAGAGACTCTGAACAGCTGAGACAATCTTGTTCCCGCCTTGATAAGAAACTCAACTTCATTTTTCCTTTGGGTTTATTGGGCTGTGAAACCACCAACCAGTCTTTTGGATTTGTATGTGTCTTGTACTGGAGATTGAATCCAGGGCCTTTGCATTGAGCTACATCTCTAGCCTTTAAAAATTTTGAGATGGTATCTTTTTTTTTTTTAAATATTTATTTATTTTTATTTATTACATTTATTTATTGTGTGTGTGTGTGTGGCCAGCTCAGCCCACCAGGGGGCGGGTCTGGCTGGCATGTGGTGCTGGGGATCGAACCACGGTCCCTGTGCTTCGCCAAGCTTGTTTCAAGTAGGTGCTTTAGACCACTGAGCCATCTCTCCAGCCCCATTGAGATGGTATCTTGCTAGGTTACTAAATTATCCAAGCTGGGCTTGAATTTGCAATCCTTCTGCCCCAGCCCCCAGAGTGCTGGGATCATAGGCAATAACCTACCTTGCCTGGCTTTTTAAAATTGTAAGTGGCACTCTTTGATAATCATTGTAGTGTCTTTGTGAAGCAGCTGTAATAGGTAAGCCAGAGTAATTATGCCCATTTTAGGGTTGACAGGCTGCGCTACTCTAGGAGCCCGAGGAAGGTGGATCGAAATTTGAGCCCAGCCTGGGTACATTAGCAACTTAGCAAGACCCTGTGTCAAAAGAATGGGTATGGGTCAGGGCGCGCGGGTGAGCAGGGGCAGGACCAGGGAGCCTTTCTCATCGCTGCTCAGGAAATGTCTTCACTTTCAGAATACGCCTTATGCATGAGTCACCTGAGCACCCAGCTCTTCAGTGAGGCTGCCAGGCCGACTGACTTGAAATCCATGAAAGTGGTGACACTTTTCAGTGAGCAGCCAATGGCTAAGAAGAAGGAGACCTGCGACTGGTACCCAAACCACAACACATATTTCGCGCTCATGGGCACACTCCGGTTTCTTGGCCTCTAGACATGAGCATCAGGATTTTAAGGATTAACAAATACGTCTAAAGAAGCTTCATGGAAAAGGAAAGCCAAGGAAAGGAGAAGGAAAAAGAGCAGCGAAAAAGAAATAGTGTTAGCTGTCAAGACAGAAAATTTTTGCCTGAATGACTAAGGCGAAAGTATATTTACTGTCTTTCCATATATTAGTCTAGTCTTCCTCAGTCAAGGTTATTTGAAACAGGAAAAAAAAAAGGAGGTATGGGGCCACAGCTTGGTACAAAGGCCCTGGGTTCAATCTGCAGAACCACACAAATAAAAACTCTACAGGATATAAAGTTGAAATGTTCTCTAAAAACTCAGAGTTTACAGTTGTATGCACAGTGCTTTATACGCGATGCAAGATCAGTGGCTGGAATAGGTGCCCATGCTCGTCCTCGCGTGGAGGACATGGACAGCTCCAAACCTGGAGTGGCCAGACTGATGCACAAGCAGAAGATAAAATATCCTGCTGATGGCTAATGGACACAGCGTCAAAAATGCAGCCTGGAAAACCACTCATGCAGCCTGCACGGGAACGGTATCTTCTACCAGAAGTGTAGACTAGGTATTTGCTATTGTCATTTTGATTTCTAAGTGTTTAGCAACTTTACATCATTTGGACAATAACTTTCTAGTATTTGGTTTATGTAGCAATAAATTCTCAATTAGTTCTAAGGAATTTTCCCTATAATCAAAATATTGGTTGTCTTTTCATTTCAAAGTTCTCAAATAAAAGTTTAATCTCTTTTCAAAACTGTAGGACTATGCACTATAAATCAAGATACATCACAAACAGGACAAATGAGCCTGTGTACACTGTAGTATAACAACTAAACACAAAGGACAAAGACAAAAAAGGCCAACTGCCTTTGAAGGGACATCCAGTGAAATGGCATCAATTGGGTCTTTGAGACAAAAAGCAAAAACAAACCCAATATGTCAACATGCAAAAAGACAATAAATCTCAATCCAGAATTCTAGTCCTGGGGCTGAGGAGATAGCTCAGTAGAATAAGTGCTTGCCTGGCAAGTGCAGGGATCTGAGTTCAATCCCTGGTACCACCAAAAAAAAAAAAAAAAAAAAGACAGAATTCTAGTCCCAGCAAAAGCAATGCTAAATACTACTTTAAAACCATTGAATATAAATCTTAAGGCAGCCTGCTGTGCTGGCCCCGCCCCCACAGCACACTGAGGCAGCAATTGAGACTGGGCCTGGTGGCCACACCTCTATTCCCAGCTCTTGGGAGGCTGTAAACAGGCGGATCACTGAGAGTCCAATCTACACGGTGAGACCCTGAACACCCTGTAGACCCTTCCCTAAAAATACAAATAAGTAAATAAACAAATAAAAATATTAATTTATAGCTCAGCATAGTGGTGTTTGCATGTAATCCTAGCTACTTGGGAGTCTGAGGCAGGAGGCCCAATACAACCCAAGAAAGAGCTGGAGAGCACAGGCTGGAGATTTGAGATACTTGTCTTAGGAAAGAGAAAACAGGTACAAACAAAACTGCTTAACTTATGTTAGGCTTTATACTTCATGTACATTATAACCTCTAGGAAAACTACAGTGAGAAAAATAAAAGAATACAGAGTAAAAGGATTTAAATATTGTTTTGTTTTATATAATGTATAACTTGCTATATTTAGTATTTTGAATCTACTTTTCTTCAGTTATAAGACTCATTCATGCATTATTTCTTTTGATTGCTACAAATGATCCCAGTTTATTAATCCACTCTCGACTGATGGGCAACGTTTAGGTTTTTCCACATTTTTGATGAACAGTCATGTTGAGAATCCTCCTGTACTGGGGACAACCCGCTCAGGCCCCCCTCTTGTCCCTCTCTTGGACAGGAGCTTTCTTTCCCTCAGTAAATATATTCTGCTCATTAAAAAAAAAAAAAAAAGAATCCTCCTGTACATGTCTCCATATTTAAAACTTTCTATTTTTACATCAAACAAGATTGCTGGACTATGAAGTTTATTTCCTTTTATGCAGCATAATGACAAAACATTTAAAAATTTAAAATCCTTCCAGGAACACATGAGACTTTGTGAATCTACATTTTATCTGATATTTGGTATTAGTCTTTATAATTTTTACCAGTGAAAATGGCTGTATCATTGTGCATGCATGCGTGCGTGCGTTTTGCGGATTGAACTCAGGACCTTGCGCTTGCCAGGCAAGCACTTATTCTACTGAGCTATCTCCACGGCCCCTCACTGTTTTTTTTTTTTTTAATTCATTAATTAATTAATTTATTTAAGTGTGTGTGTGTGTGTGTGTGTGTGTGGCCAGCTCAGCCCACCAGGGGGCGAGGCTGGCTGGCATGTGGTGCTGGGGGATTGAACCGCGGTCCCTGTGCTTTGCTAAGCTTGTTCTAAGTAGGTGCTTTAGACCACTGAGCCATCTCACAGCCCCTCACTGTGGTTTTGATGGGCGTTTTCCTCATCATCGGAGAGTTGAGCATCTCTGTCATGCCTTGACTGTGTCAACCAATGGTGCACGGTGCAGAAGGGCGGTCCTCCGTGTGGCGATGCTGAGAGGTGGTGGAACCTTTGAGATGAGGCCTAGTGGATGATTAGGTCACTCATGGCTTGGCAGGGGAAGTGCAGTTGTCACGAGCCCCTGCTTAGCTCCTATATGAAGAATGTGCTGCTATCGAGTGAGCCTGGGGCAGGGGAATAGCGGAATTGCTCACTAGTGGAACATTTGCTTAGCACGTGCAGGGCTCTGGGTTCAATTTCTAGCACCAAAGAGTGAATGCGATCTCTGAATCTCATTGGCTTCCTGTCTCACCTCAGTCTGTTTCTCAGTGTGATGCCATCTACCCCTGCGGACCTCACCAGAGGCTGAACAGATGGGACTGTGTGACCTTGGACTCAGCCTCCAAATCTAGCTAAGTAAACCCTTTTTCTTGGAAAGTACATAGCCTCAGGCACTTTGTTACAGCAAACAGAAAATGGACTAGGGAAATTTCTTTTTATGTTCACTGGCTAGGTGCAATTTCCTTTTCTGTAAAATACGTCATTTTCTGTTTTTCAGTGGCGGAAGGTGCTGGAAGTTGAACCCAGAGCCTTGTTCATGTTAGGCACATACCTTACCACTCACTTATACTCCCCAGTATGGGATACCTCTTCATGTCTCTTACCCACTTTTTAAATGGAGTAATTTGTGGTCTTTTTTATTAATTTCTACAGTTCATCATATATTGTCATTTGTGTATTCTCAGAATGTCCTTCAAGAGTGTCACTTGTCTTTCATTTGCTTTAAGATGTTTTTGCCAAGTAAAAGTTCTTAATATTAACAAGCCATGCTCAAATTTTAAAATTTCTTTGGTGTCAAGGATCTTTTTATAGACTTGCTTACATTTAATATATTTATTGTTAATTTAATCCAATCCTTCATAAGGAATCCAAATTTCCTCTCAAGATAGTCAAATCAGTTGTCTGATCAATTTCATTTTCCTGAAGAAATCCTGGAGCCTCTCACCTGACTCCCAAAGTTAAAGGGGAAAGGTTCATTTAGCACACAGTTTGTGGAGTTTTCAGTTCATGCTCTTCTGGCTCCAAGGCAGGGTGGCATGTGGCAACACTTCATATTCGTAGAAGACATTGAAAGCAACGAGAGAAAAACAAGCCTCTTTCTATCCCTTATGTAGTATCCAGTCTATTGGGATTAGGGTGGTGCCAATCTAATCAGTGGACTGATCCAGCAATCATCCACCCTTAATCCCAGCATTGAACGATGAATGAATCACAGTCCAGATTCAGCCACCTCTGAGAAAACTCTATGATCACATGAGGCTTTGGGGGACCTCTCGACACACACCACAACATGAGCTCTTCCTCCTTCTTGCCTTACTTTCTTGCTTTGGCAGAGCATCTCCCTGTAGCTTCTGTAAAAAGCTGCAAAGAGGGCAGATTTTTATATTCTGTCCTCACAGCTTTGGATGGGCATGGAATTGAAATCCAAAGTGACTTTTTTTTTCAAAAATTTAAACGCATTTAGTTGTGACAGAACTTTTATGGTTACATATTAAATTTGTTGGTATACTTATTTTTCATCCTCCCACAAAACTCATTTCTCCACCTCTCTGGATATCACAGGTTTATCTCTGTGCATAGTGCTTGCAAATGTTTTCTTTTGATACAATGTGGGTCTGTTTCAGACCACTGCTAGCCAATTCCATCTTCTACTTTAGAGACATCTCCTTCAGTGACATCATAGTTTCTTCCTCTTTGTCTTTTTTCTTCTGGAATACCTATTATTGAGGTATTAAATCTTCTAGGGTGGTGTTCTAATTTTTTAAATCTACTTTTCGTATATATTGGCTTGTAGTTGTGTACTCTATTTTATCTTCTGTATCTGTCTTCTACTTTACCTAAGTCCCTCTCATAGCTGCAATCACAGCACCATGTTCTGCTAAGAAACATAAGAACTTTGAACATCCTAACGGTGGATGGCATCTCCCTAAAGCACTTGTTTCCTCCAGTGGGTTTGGGTCTTCGTCATACTGGAGGCTTCCTATGTCCTCCTGGTGCATGCCTGGCTGTTTTGTCCAACACTGAAGTTGTCTACTACACAAGGCAGATTGAAAACTGTGCGTGTGCATGGAGCTTGCTGTGGCCTCCACCGTAGGGCATCTAGACTGGGCCCATCCCTTGGAGGACTGCCAATGTCAAGATCTTAGTTCTAGCCCTTGGAAGTTCCCAATGTCAAGATCTTAGTTCTAGCCTTGGAAGTTCCCAATGTCAGGTTCTTACTGTTTTTCTCTCCCCTAGAGAACTCTGTTTTTCTGCCAGGATCATGTTGGCTTGACAGTCAGCACTCTGGGAGCTGAGAGGGTTGTGTCAGTTGCCATGCAAAGTGGGAAAAAGAGAAAAGAGTAATTGCTTCATTAACCCTCACCTCATCTTCACCCTCAATTTCCAGAGATCCCTGGGTCTTGGGGAATTCTGTAATGTAAACTGAGTTTCCATTTCGCTTTTCT